GTTTGAGAGTTCTGTTGACTTGTCATCTTTCTTTTCTTCTGCTGAAGAAGGAGTTGATTCTGATACTGGTTGATTAACCTCTTCTTTGGGCTCATTTTGAATTTGTTCAACAATATCATTAACAACTCCAAGAACAACTTTTCCTACCATTTCTTCATCTATAGATTCAGAAGAGCTATAATCTTTAATTGTGGGAGATGCACCTTTCTGGTCATCTACATTAATATAAACCCCTTTATCTCTTTCTTCAGATGAACATAAAGACGATTTGACTGTGGACGAAGAAACTTTTTTCTCATTTTTAATAGGAAATTCTATATCATTAACAACAGTATTTTCTTGATTTGATTCGTTAATGCTAATAATCGTTTCTTCCTTTTGGTCATTTGACAAAGATGAGTTTGAAAGAATTTTCTTATTTTGTCCAACACAAACTATAACGTCTTTATAATCTTCACCATGAGAAGATTCACTAAACTCGCTTGAATTAGTCTGCTTAACATCATCATTTATTATTAAAACATTATCTTTAACAATATGACCTTCTTCAGAATGAGATTTAGAGATCTTTTCGTGAGAGTCATTCTCAACACTTTTATTTGTATTAATTTCATTATTTGAATATTCAATTGGTGATTGTGAATGATTTGGTGATTCTGTTAATTCTTCTCCATTAATTGTTAATATTACTTCTTTATTAAGAACCTCTTTTTCCTCATCACTCGAGCTATCATCCTCTTTTATTGTAGGTGATGTCTCTTTAACTTCTTCAGGTTGTGTAACTATTCCTTGATTAATGTTTTCATCTAATTTTTGTTCAGGTTGTTCAGAAACTTCTTCCTTTCCAGAGGTTTCTAATTTATCCTTTGTATCTTCTTTTTGGGATTCTTCAGTTATAACTATTTCTTCTTTCTTTTCTTCTTGGGTATTACATTTTTCACAAGACACCTCTTCATCTTTTTTATCTTCTTTACCAGAAATATTTGAAGAATTAGGTTCTTTTAAAACTTCAGAAATCTCGATAGACTCATTCTTATCTTTACCTTCACTTACAGTCAATGACGGAGTTTGTGAATTTGATTTTTCTTCTTCTATTTTTGAAGATTCAATCTGCATAGAAATCTCTTTTTCTTCACTTTTGGATAGAACTTCCTCAGAATGCATTTTATCATTTTTGTTATCAGTTGAAAAGGGCGATTCTGGCTTTTGTAATTCTTCTTGTTCATTGCTTAATGAAGCTGATAGGTTATTTTCAAGACTTGTGAGAGTAGGACAGGACTCACTAACCCTGTCTTTACTAAGTTCAGGAGGTGATTGTTTAGAATCATTAGAACTTTTAGTTGATTCATCTGCAATCGGTGTAACATTTTTTTCAATTTGTTTTTGTTCTACTTCAAAACCACTAGATTGTTTAGTGTCAAGTTCACCAGTTAATTGTTTGGTAAGAAGAGCAATTTTTCCTTTTTGTTTTGGTGCTTTAAATGTTTTTTGAGGTGTTTTAGAGGTTGTTATTTCGTCGCTATTTGAAGAAGACTTTGAGCTTTTCTTTCTTTGAACTTTTAGTGTTGATTGTTTAACAATAACTCTATTTGGATTACTCCTTAATTGTGATTTTACTCTTTGTTCTCTTTCTAAATCCTCTTGTTTTTTGGCTTCTAATTGTTCATATTGTCCAATAAGTTGAGCAATTCTACTTGACACCTTTTTAGGTGAACTCATTTGAATTGATTATTCAGTTTTTTTGTGGTATGTGTTAATTGAAAATAGTTTGAATTTCATTTTTACTCAAACATTAACACTTCCACACAGCCGCAATTATTTCAGTTTTTGAACAGAAATTCTTTTAGATCTCATAATTCCTTTCATTTCATCTTTCTATCACTTCTTATTATTTTTCGGGATTTCTTCTCAATAATTATTTTAAAGATCCTAATAAAATTTGTTCTAAAAAAGAACCGTTACTAAAAAATAAAAAGCAATTAATTAGTATTAACAGAGCTTGTGTATATTGTTCCTGCTTAGGGGAGACTAATCCATTCCATCGGTCTTCGTCATCTAGTTCAACGTTATATGTTTGGTTGGTAGAGTCAGTGTTCCATGACGTTTATCATGTTTTTAATTACATGGTTTTTGATTTCTTTGGTGATATTAATTTCGATTTTTAATTGTTTGATTAATTTAATACTTTCCGCATTTACTAGCCCATTAATCGAAATTACTACTGCAATTATTTTGACATCTTTTAATTTCTATATTTTCATTAGCCTATTTTTCAATTCTTTATACATATTTCTTTTCTTCCAATAGCCTCCATTAATATTATGATCTGCCACAATAGTCATATCAATTATTAGACCAGTTTTATTCTTTTTATCTAGTACATATATGTCTGGTCTTTTATGATATAGTCCATCACTTTTTGGCATTATTTGTTTGTTCCATATCATAGTGATGTCATTGTATTGGAACATTGTTTCATATGAGGATTTCTTGTATTGTTTATTTAATGTGTATTTTCTTATTAACCCCTCCCATATGATAATGCCAATATGGTCATGTTTCTCCATTTGTGATTTCTTATGACCAATGCAAGATAGTAGAATGTGTTCTACTGTGGCTATCTTGTATTTACAAAGTGGGCAGTACTTTAATCATTTTTTTTAATATTTTATCTTTCCTGTACCCACTAAATATTGCTCCATCTTGCATTTTAGTTAATTGGAGAAATGTATTTTTCTTTATATTGATGGATTTCCATGCATTTATTGTAGTAGTTTTATCTACAAATTTTGACTCGAACCATCTTCTAAAATGTCAACTTGTTTGATTTCAATTTTTTGATGTATTGGTCGGTCATTAATTTCTTTATTTTTAATACTACTTCTTTTTCTTTTTTATTTTCAATCCCTTCATTTATTATTTCTTCTATTTTCGTTTCTGGGATTTTATGACTTAGTGCTTTTTTAATTCTATTCAATATTCCTTTCTTTGAATACCATTTATCTATTATGTTATTTCCTATTTCACTCTTGTACAATAGTACATTACTGTTCTATTTATTTCATTAACATATTCGTCCATTAGGCTTATTAATCATTCACCAATTTCATTTATATGACATATAGACGGTCTTTGGAGTTACAACAATGTATTTTGCTTTTCTTAAATATTTTCTTATCTCAAAATCCATTTTATCTAGGTCAGTTACATTCCAATTTACTACTGATGCTGAATATCTGAAGATGGGTATTACTTCAGTATTAATTCTTGTAATATAACTTCTATTACTACTTTCATCAGCATTTATTTCTTCCATTTTCTTCATCATCTTTTCTTTGATGATTTTACAATTGAATATATCATTAATTTCATCTGACTGCCATACACCTAAATATTTATACAAATCCTCTCCTTCAATTAATGTGATGTTTTGCATTCAATCTGGTATTTTATTAATGTTTTTTAATACCATTCCTGATTTATTTTCATTTCCATCCCTATTCCACTTATTATTTGTTTAATTTCATTGTGGATTGTTCCCATTTCTTCACTATTTGTGTCATTATTCTCAAATCATCCATATACAATGTATTGTTTGATTTTGGGAACTTCTCTTCTATGAAATGAGAAATTATATTCATTTGGATGATGAAGAGTAGAGTGGATAATGAATCACATTGTAAAATTCATCAATTTAATACATCCTAGATATTCATTATATTTATATCCTATGAATATCTTCCATCTATTCATCATACTTTCTACAATATCTATGATGACACCCTCTACATTAAAATATTTAAGTGTTTCTATTACCCATTCATGATTTACTGAGTCATATGTTTTCTTAATATCATAATATGACTCTACATATTTTGTGTATTTCTCTTCTTTTTGCTGATTTAACATATAACTGTTAATTAATCATTCTTTATCAACAAGAGATTGCAGTTTACATCATAATTGATTTTTACTAATTTTTAATGATTCACTATTCATGTTAATTCTATTATGAATATTATCTTTTAATATTGAGGTAAATACTTTCATAATTACATTTATACAAC